AATTTAAAAAAAAAAAAAAAGGCCGTCATCAGGAGTCATTGTGCACTGTTGAGTACTCTCGTCAGGGTATTGCTCCACTTGTCTGCCCCACCAGTTTCCGTTTTAGCTAACAAAAATGTTTGTTTTTTTTTTAAATAGCTGATTTCTTTTGGAACTGATGCTGTTATTTTAAGTGTTCCAAGTTTAAATCTATTTCTCAACCACCTCATTGGTACAAAATTTTCTTTGAATCTTCCACATTTACATCTATTTCTCAACCACCAAATTACTGAAAAATAATACTATACTACCTTTGAATTAATGTGGAAGTGTGGAAGTTTATTTAATTTTGTTTGCTTAGTATATCAATTGTAATTAAAATACAGACATATCTGAAATTTGACTTGTGACTTAACAGAACTCCGGGACATTAAGGATGAACTCCTGGGAATCACTTCGTTAAACCCTTTCGTTTACAGATGTGAAAATCTGAGACTAAGAATTATTGATGAAAGAAAATTGTGAAAATATTTTAAGGAATTTGGAAACAAGTTTATATACATTCAAGCATTGATAATATAAATGTAACACATTTTCAAAAGTACATTTGTTTATGATTTTCATTGTTCCCATATTATAGCCACTTGAATAGTGGATATTTCATTTTAGAAGCCTTATTATCACAGAGTTAAGGTACTAGGTTTTGACATTTTCCTGCCAACATACCATAGCCAAGTGAAATATTGACTGAAAACAACATAAGCACAAATGTATTTGTTGAGCTTTTTGTTAAGAGCTATTCAACCCATATGAATCTTTAGAGATGGTTGGTATTCCCTTTTATTATAATAACTTTAAATGTTAACCCATATTTTAGAAAACAGTTTGGAGGTACCTCCAAAAGTTAGATATAGAAGTTACCATAAACTCAAAACCAACTGACTGCCATCAAATAGATTCCAATTCAGAGTATAACTGCTCCTGTGGGTTTTCAAGGCTATAATTCTTTATAGGATTAGAAAACTTTTCTCCCGTGGAGTGGCTCGTGGTTTCAAACTGCTGACCTTACTGTTAGAAAACAAGTAAGTAATCACTATGCAACAAGTCCTCTTTTTGTAAGAAGCAAGTATTCATGGGAAGCAACAATTATATGTTATTTATATACCCAAGAGAAATGAAAATGTATGTTCTCAAAAAAAACTTGAACAAAGATATTCATAGAGTGTTATTCATAATGATATAAAGGAAAATCAACACATACGTCTATCCATATAGGTTAAATAAACCGATCAATCCTCATGCAAGGATGACAGGCACATTTGTGAAAGATTCCATATATATGAATAGCCCTAGTGGAACTTTGGTTTTGACATTGAACCGCTGACTCCAAGTTCAGCAGTTCAAAACTCTTAGCCTCTCTGTGAAAGAAAAATGAAACTGTTTTGGAAACTACATTCAGGTTTCAGTATGCATGGGAATTTGCCCAATAGTACTGGAGTGTGTGTGTGTGTGTGTGTGTGTGTGTGTGTGTATATTTATTAGATAATTATGCAGCCATTTAAAAAAGAATGACATAATCATACATGGTACCAAATTGATGAACCACAGAAACACTATAATAAGTGAAAGAGGCCAGTTACAAAAGGCCATATGTTATAGAATCAATCCCCTTTTCATGACAATACCATGATAGATTAATCTATGAGTGAGTTTCAGAAAGTTCATGAAAAAATGGATGAAAAATAATTGAATGTTTCCATGAACTTTTTGAAGCCCCCCACAGAAAGGAGATTAATATTTGCCTACTGGTGGGGGATGGGGGGTCGGAGGAGGGTAGTGGAAAGAGTAATGACTGCTAGTGGATATTGTGTTTCTTTATAGAGGATTCTTGATGGTGTAATGGTTAGCAGCTCACTATTTACCAAAATGCCAGTTTTTCCAATCCATTGGCTGCTTCTCCAGAGAAAGATGTGGAAAGACTTGGAAACTCTGTGGGGGTAATTCTACTCTGTTGGCACCAGTCAAAATTCAACTTGAAGGCTGATAGTTAAATGTTATGTCAACTTTACTGGGCAAGGATTCTCCATGGTTTAGCAGTTGTTCTTAGGTAGCATGAAGTAAGTTCAGACTCCCAACAACCCTTGTACAACAGAATGAAACACAGTCCTGTGTCATCCTCACAATTGTTATATTTGAGCCCATTATTGCATCCATTATATCGCTTCAAAAAGTTCCTCTTTTTTTTTTGCTACACTTCTACTTTACCAAAAATGATGTGCTATATCAGGGACAGGTCTTTCCAGATAACATGTCCAAAGTACATGAGATGAAATCTCACCATTCTTAATTCCAAGAACCATTCCAATGGTACTTCTTCCAAGATAGAACTCTTTGTTCTGTTGGCAGTTCATGGTACCTTCAATAGCTTTCACCACCCACATAATTACAAAGTATCAACTTTTCTTCCTTGTTCAGTGTCCAACATCCACATGTATATAAGGCAACCAAAATTCTTACTGCTTTGGTTTGGCGCGCCGTGATCCTCAAAGTGATATCCATGCTCTTCAATACTTTAAAGAGATCGTGTGCAACAGATTGACCTAGTGCAATGCATTGTTTGAATTCTTGACTGCCAATTCCATGGGCATTGATTGTGCTGCCAAGCCAGATGAAATCCTTGACATCTTCAATATGTTTCCCTATCATGTCTTTACCTATTGGTTGAGTTAAGAGGATTCAGATTTTCTTTGCATTGAAGTCAGTCCTTCACACTTTGAGCAAACAAAGTTGTCTTATTTGCATATCTAAGTTTGTTAATAAACCTTCTTCCAATCCTGATACTACATATTTCCTCATTTAGTCATTTCTTGGATTATTTGCTCAGCATACAAATTGAGTATGTACAGTGAAAGGATGCAGCCCTATGCACACTTGTCCTGTGGAAAACCATGCAATATATGGTAGTTAGGTAAGTTCATATCAACTTGAAGATATATGAAAGTGTAGGAGTGGAATTTAGCCTGTTAGTTAGGCCATAACCTGATCGTAATTCCTTGTGGGCCTGGCATTCTCATAAGGAGGGTCCTGGGAACCTCTCCCACTCTCTCTGCCTTCACCTTCCTGCTGGAAGACCCTGGTTGC